AATCATAACTTAACAGATTAATCTTAGTGTACATGTATTTCTCATGGGTAATGGTGCAAACATAGAAGGAGACTGTCCCTGACGACATACTTGATTAGCTCCCCTTTGAGTTCAAGCAATTCCTTAATGTTTGTCTTGTTATATTTCAAATGTATTTATGAGATTTGATCAAGTGATATTGTCTCTTATCTTAAATGATAATAAAATTGAGAATGGAAATGGGGAATGTGTCAAAGAGACAACAAACCGACCATAGAACAGACAACAGCAGGAGGTCACCAACAGGTCTTCAATGCAGCGAGAAATTCCCGCACCCGGAGGCGTCCTTCAGCTGGCCCCTAAACAAATATATATACTAGTTCAGTGATAATGAACGCCATACTAAACTCCAAATTGTACACAAGAACTAAAATTAAAAATAATACAAGACTAACAGGCTAGAGGCTCCTGACTTGGGACAGGCGCAAAAATGCGGCGGGGTTAAACATGTTTATGAGATCTCAACCCTCCCCTATACCTCTAGCCAATGTAGAAAAGTAAACGCATAACAATACGCACATTAAAATTCAGTACAAGAGAAGTCCGAGTCTGATGTCAGAAGATGTAACCAAAGAAAATAAACAAAATGACAATAATACATAAATAACAACAGACTACTAGCAGTTAACTGACATGCCAGCTCCAGACTTCAATTAAACTGATTGAAAGATTATGTCTTCATCATATGAATATCAGGCACAATCCTTCCCGTTAGGGGTTTAGTATCATACCATCATAACATATATGAGAAGAACATAACCCGTGTCATGCCAACAACTGGTTTTTAAATACATGTGTTTAGTGCCGATGCAAAGACCCTATAAGTGAATCAATATTAACGCCAAAATATGCAATCTTTAATGACCTGACAACAGTATCGTAACTATATCCCTTCTTAATAAGTCTATTTCAAGGTTTTGTTAGTTTCAGAGGTGAATACTGACATTTTTGTGCTTTATAAAGAATATTTCCATAAAAAATTGGATGTGAAATACCTGAACGTATAAGAAGTCTGCATGTTGAGCTATATTTACGAATGATGTCCTTATACCGATGATAAAATTTAGTAAATGTTTTGACTAGTTTGTGATATTGAAAACCCTGGTGTAATAATTTTTCAGTAATACATAAATTTCTCTCGTTAAAATCTAAAACATTGTTACATACACGAGCGAATCGTACAAGTTGAGATATATAAACACCGTAAGATGGTTACAAGGGAACGTCACCATCTAAAAATGGATAATTAACGATAGGAAATGAAAAATCATCTCTTTTATCATATATTTTAGTATTAAGCTTTCCGTTAATGATATAGATATCAAGATCGAGGAAAGGGCAGTGGTAATTGTTAGTATTAGCTTTATTTAAAGTAAGTTCAACAGGATAAATTTCTTTAGTATACATACTGAAGTCGTCATTATTGAGAGCCAAAATATCATCCAAATATCTAAAAGTATTATTAAATTTGTGTATCAGATGTTGTTTCGATGGGTCTTTGCTGATTTTTGTCATAAATTGTAACTCATAGCAATACAAAAAAAGGTCCGCAATAAGTGGTGCACAGTTAGTTCCCATTGGAATTCCGATAACCTGACGATATACGGAATCTCCAAAGCGAATAAACATGTTATCTAGTAAAAATTCAAGGGCATATATAGTATCAAAGCATGTCCAATTGACATAGTTTTTTTGTTTATTGCTACTAAAAAATGACCTAAAAGAGTTTGAACATATATATTCACATTCTGACTTTTTAAATGCCCATTTAATTAGGTGTGTGAATTTTTTCTTAATGAAAATGTGAGGCAATGTGGTATATAGGGTAGAAAAATCAAAACTTTGAACAGATTCAAAATCACCAATATATGCATGTAATTTATCAAGTACTTCCAACGAGTTCTTGACACTCCAAAAGTAATTAATTCCACTATTTTCGAAGGCCTTATTTGAACAATTTATTATCAGGTTTTTTATTGTACCAAGTGTACTGGTAAGAAGAATAGACAATTTAGTAGTGGAACAATGGCTTGAAGACGAAATGAATCTATATTTGTAAGGTGTTTTGTGTAGCTTCGGAAGCCAATACATAGTTGGGACTTTCATTGTATTTGGTTCTGCATGTAAAGCGGTAGCTAAAAGTTTATGTTTGTTACAGATGTCGTTTTCTGAAAATAGAGTCAGTTGGAATGTTGGTGAATTGGTGATTTCTTTTTTCAGAACCTCAATGTAAAATTTACGTCAAACAATAATAATATTATTAGCAGCTTTATCGGCCGGGACAAAAACAAATTCCTTGGCTAGTTCTTTTAGTTTATGTTTGATACGAGCTATTGGTTTATTGTGGTTATTGTTAAGAGTAAAATGTTCTTTAAAATGTTGAATACGTATATCAACTATGTTCATTACTGAATTAAAAAAAGAGTCCAAAGATTTTTTGTCAGCTTTTTCCCGTTTTATCCATTTCAAACAGTAAGTATGGAGTGAGTCGTGGATGATATACCGACACTCATTCCAATTAATAATTGACGGGGGACGATATTTAGGTCCTTTACTGAGGAATGATTTTAACTCTCGGTCTTGAACGATGTTAAGATCTCCTGTTATAACAATGGGTCCATAAATGTATTCTGAATTACTGCAATTACATGAAGTAGATGTATTTTCACTGATATTAACATCATTACACAATTGGCTATAATTAAACACAAATTTCCGGGTAGATTTCTTGTAAATATAACAAATAAGAGGGAGCTCAGTATTATCAAAATATCCCGGAATTTGTTCTTTAACAGAATGGTCGTTAAAAATACCGGCAATATTTACAAAATCAAAACCTTTATTGAATACAATAGTGTCTTAGGATTGATATAAAGGATTTATGACTATGTCCCTCTAAGTTGAGACAGAGACACTGACACATCGTATTAGTTAACTAAATCATTATTGTAACTTTTCAACTTGTATAATATTGATTTCAGTCGTTTTTCCTAGAAGTAGTATTTTAGGTGTAAGAAAAATACCGCATTGAATGAATTAAGGAAACAATAGTTTATCAATGTTCCAAATCTCATAAAACGACCTAGAAGATAAATCATGGTAGTGCACAAATACCGAGGAAAAGACATAAACTCCAAAGGGAAAAAAACCCAAATTTGTTGACAAGGTAAGCGTCTACTGTTCTGCATGCATAACCCAGTCAAGATGTAACAATCAAGAAAAGGACAGAGTCGATGAGATTAAAGATTAGACGACTTATCTGGTATATTAACATCTAAGACTGCGACATAAAGTAGGACATAGGGTATGATACTGTTGAAAAATGGGAAGTTGACAAATGGAAAGTTGAAATAATCTCGTTTATCATATATTCTATTTTGAAGTCGTCCATCTTTGTCCACATCGAGGAAAAGATCAAGATATGAAGCAGACCGTTTTGTTTCGAGAGTAGCATTAATATCACGTTCACTGGGATATATGAGGTACAGCACTTACGGAATTGTAGATTATTGAATGACAGAACATCATCAATATATCTGACAGTGAAATTAATGGACTTTGAAAGGTTTGGGGTTTTTTTTATTCCTTGAGAAGATTTTGTATGAACTCTGCTTCATATGACTACAATTTCAAGTCTGCAAGTTGGAGTGTACAATTATTATCCATTGGACTACAGACTGTCAGCTGAAATATCAATTCACCATACTGAACAAATGTTGTCGATCAAAATGTCGAGCATTTTGATGATATCAGCGCTTTTGTTTTTTGAAATAAGTGGGTTTTTTTTACCAAAAAAGATTTTTTCATGACCTAAAGGAAGATTTTTTTTTATCTACATCACCCATCTTTGTATTTAAAATCTACAATATGACGATGTGTTTTTCTTTCAGTTGAGCATGAGAATATGAATATAAAGCGTAGAAAATCTCAATTCTAAGTATTTCTGCAAAAATATCAAGATAATGATTGAAGATTTTGCAGCAGAACTCTTTAAAAATTTCAATGTATTATTAATCAAGTCAGTATATTGTATTTATGCATTCTCATAATATATTTGATATTTAAACGCTTTAATAATGGCAAAGGATTTATTACTAATGGTAATTGGGAAGCTTAAAATGAAATCGTTACGTTTGGCATGCATTTTCCTAATTTCAAGTCGTTCATATGTGTCAATATTAAGATAAAACATGTTAAGAAGTAACATGATTTCCGTCGGTAAAATTAACATTTTATTTAGATGAGTAAGGTGCTTAAGAGGTACGAATTTTGTTCGTTTATTCTTTGCATAAATATAGCAACAAGTTGGCCCAAATGGTGCACAATTAATACCAACTTGAATACCAAGTGTTTGTCCATATATTATTATCTCGACAGATTTGTTGTTGACGAAAAATTACAGCATTTTGTTAAAATCATCTTCGGTGTTCTTGTCGTTGAACTCTGTTAGACTTTAAAAGGTGTAAGAAATTTTTATCTATGATTCCCATTTCTGTCCGAAATGTGAAAATAAGGTTATGTGTTATGATTGCCAATGAGATCAATGGATGTGTAAAGCGCTATTCTAATTAGAAAATGTAGTCGATTTTTCAATTTATTAAGAGGAATAGTAGTGTAATAAAGTATACGATATAAAATATATTATTGCAAATTAGACTGTACTAAGCTTATTAAATCTGTTTTAGCATCAACACTTTAAATTGCGCTTGACAATCACAAAGAACAATGTATGTTTTATTAACAATACTCATTTGTCAATGATTGATTATCTATTATTATAACTTTAATTGAACAAAAGAGTCTCAATGATCTAATCAACTTAGTTTACAGCAAATTAAGAAATATGACTCTATTATAACAATGTTCTTTGTTATTTTATTCTTTTTACTTATAAATGACCTCAGTAAATGCCTTCTTATTGTTGCTACAGGTAATATCATTACATTTAGGTTGAAGTCGTAGTCAAGTCCATGTTGGAATACACTTACCGTGTTAAAATTATAATTTTCCACCTTACCATCTTTGGTAATTGCAAGTGTTTTCAAATAGCAATATAGAATGTTACATTAACTTACCATTGTAATATCGTTATATTCAATCCCAAGGAAAAACGGAACAAACGTCAAGAAGTTTTTGTAAGTAGTTAATGGATAAAAAAATAAGAGAATGTGGTTCAATTGCCAATGAGACAACTATCCATCAGAGTCCATATGACAAAGCACTGTGTTTGTGGATTCAGAAAATGATGGGTTGTTCCCTTGGAGAAATTGTTGTGCAACGAGCCATTAAACGCCTGTTGAATGTCAGATTTTAATTAATAGTAAACTTGTAGGTCCTGCATTGTAGAATTTGTTGTCGAAACCGGGTCCTACTATTTTGACACGACAAATTCCTTTCGCTTCATGCATAGGAATACAAATATTGAGGTGCGAAAAGTGTTTTATCTTACAATTTCCATGTATATACCTTTTATTTCGTACGTTTCTTTTTGAATAATGGGCACAATTATATGAAAAATTAAACAAATTCGATGAAAGGTTTACTCTACTAATAATTTTGCCGTGTATTTTTAGTTATTTCTCCATCCGTCTTGAACAAATGTAGAAAATATAACATCTCGCAATTAAAAAAGTAATAATTGTATTTATATCCTAAAATTCAATACAAATAACAAATAAATAATCAGAAATTCCTCATTTTCTATGTCAGTAGGTGTTCCCCAAACGTACTGGATATCATATATTATTATACTTCACGTTAAAATGCCAGATTTTAATTGGCTAATACGAAGTAGATAATTTATTCAATCCCATGGATGAGTGGGAGACAATTTCTTGAGTGTCACCCTCATGTGCAGATCAATCAAAAATCAACTATTTAAAGGACTGAACCAATTATTGGATTTACATCAATAAATTAAAGACAATGCTCAAGTTCTACGTTTTAGCCTCAGGACTTTTTCATAGACTGTCAAAATAAAAAAATGTCATCCTTCATGCACTTCTGTTTTAACGTTGTTATGTACGTGATATCATAGTTGTGTACTTTGAATTTAAAATTTAACAGTAAAATACTATAATGATAGAACATTCAGTATAATAAATTAAATAACGCATAGCTGAGAAGACGATAGAGCAGAGTGTTGTTACCCCTCTGAAAAACATTGTCAACCTTGGCTTGGGCTCAGTTGACAATGTTTTCTCGAAATAACAATTTGCGCTATCACCCTCTAAGCTATGTGTTTTTATATATTATTATACTTCATGTCAAAATGCCAGATTTTGATTGGTTTATACGGAGGGAGACAATTTACTCTATTCTATGGTAAATACTATATTACCCTTCACGGAGACGCTTGATCAAGTGTGCACTTTATTAAATACGGATGGTTATGTGCAAGACGTCATAGTTTATTACTTTAAATTTGAAATTTAATAGACAGTAATAACAGAACATTCAGTATAATAAATTAAATAATACATATCTGAGAGGATGATAGGGCAGATTGTTACCCCTCGAAAAGACATTGCCAACCTTGGGTTCGCTTCAGTTGACAATGTTTTCTCGGGGTAACAATCTACTCTATCACCCTCTTTGATTGTAACCGGGTCCTACTATTTTGACACGACAAATTCCTTTCGCTTCATGCATAGGAATACAAATATTGAGGTGCGAAAAGTGTTTTATCTTACAATTTCCATGTATATACCTTTTATTTCGTACGTTTCTTTTTGAATAATGGGCACAATTATATGAAAAATTAAACAAATTCGATGAAAGGTTTACTCTACTAATAATTTTGCCGTGTATTTTTAGTTATTTCTCCATCCGTCTTGAACAAATGTAGAAAATATAACATCTCGCAATTAAAAAAGTAATAAATGTATTTATATCCTAAAATTCAATACAAATAACAAATAAATAATCAGAAATTCCTCATTTTCTATGTCAGTAGGTGTTCCCCAACCGTACTGGATATCATATATTATTATACTTCACGTTAAAATGCCAGATTTTAATTGGCTAATACGAAGGAGATAATTTATTCAATCCCATGGATGAGTGGGAGACAATTTCTTGAGTGTCACCCTCATGTGCAGATCAATCAAAAATCAACTATTTAAAGGACTGAACCAATTATTGGATTTACATCAATAAATTAAAGACAATGCTCAAGTTCTACGTTTTAGCCTCAGGACTTTTTCATAGACTGTCAAAATAAAAAAATGTCATCCTTCATGCACTTCTGTTTTAACGTTGTTATGTACGTGATATCATAGTTGTGTACTTTGAATTTAAAATTTAACAGTAAAATACTATAATGATAGAACATTCAGTATAATAAATTAAATAACGCATAGCTGAGAAGACGATAGAGCAGAGTGTTGTTACCCCTCTGAAAAACATTGTCAACCTTGGCTTGGGCTCAGTTGACAATGTTTTCTCGAAATAACAATTTGCGCTATCACCCTCTAAGCTATGTGTTTTTATATATTATTATACTTCATGTCAAAATGCCAGATTTTGATTGGTTAATACGGAGGGAGACAATTTACTCTATTCTATGGTAAATACTATATTACCCTTCACGGAGACGCTTGATCAAGTGTGCACTTTATTAAATACGGATGGTTATGTGCAAGACGTCATAGTTTATTACTTTAAATTTGAAATTTAATGGACAGTAATAACAGAACATTCAGTATAATAAATTAAATAATACATATCTGAGAGGATGATAGGGCAGATTGTTACCCCTCGAAAAGACATTGCCAACCTTGGGTTCGCTTCAGTTGACAATGTTTTCTCGGGGTAACAATCTACTCTATCACCCTCTTTGATTGTAACCGGGTCCTACTATTTTGACACGACAAATTCCTTTCGCTTCATGCATAGGAATACAAATATTGAGGTGCGAAAAGTGTTTTATCTTACAATTTCCATGTATATACCTTTTATTTCGTACGTTTCTTTTTGAATAATGGGCACAATTATATGAAAAATTAAACAAATTCGATGAAAGGTTTACTCTACTAATAATTTTGCCGTGTATTTTTAGTTATTTCTCCATCCGTCTTGAACAAATGTAGAAAATATAACATCTCGCAATTAAAAAAGTAATAAATGTATTTATATCCTAAAATTCAATACAAATAACAAATAAATAATCAGAAATTCCTCATTTTCTATGTCAGTAGGTGTTCCCCAACCGTACTGGATATCATATATTATTATACTTCACGTTAAAATGCCAGATTTTAATTGGCTAATACGAAGGAGATAATTTATTCAATCCCATGGATGAGTGGGAGACAATTTCTTGAGTGTCACCCTCATGTGCAGATCAATCAAAAATCAACTATTTAAAGGACTGAACCAATTATTGGATTTACATCAATAAATTAAAGACAATGCTCAAGTTCTACGTTTTAGCCTCAGGACTTTTTCATAGACTGTCAAAATAAAAAAATGTCATCCTTCATGCACTTCTGTTTTAACGTTGTTATGTACGTGATATCATAGTTGTGTACTTTGAATTTAAAATTTAACAGTAAAATACTATAATGATAGAACATTCAGTATAATAAATTAAATAACGCATAGCTGAGAAGACGATAGAGCAGAGTGTTGTTACCCCTCTGAAAAACATTGTCAACCTTGGCTTGGGCTCAGTTGACAATGTTTTCTCGAAATAACAATTTGCGCTATCACCCTCTAAGCTATGTGTTTTTATATATTATTATACTTCATGTCAAAATGCCAGATTTTGATTGGTTAATACGGAGGGAGACAATTTACTCTATTCTATGGTAAATACTATATTACCCTTCACGGAGACGCTTGATCAAGTGTGCACTTTATTAAATACGGATGGTTATGTGCAAGACGTCATAGTTTATTACTTTAAATTTGAAATTTAATAGACAGTAATAACAGAACATTCAGTATAATAAATTAAATAATACATATCTGAGAGGATGATAGGGCAGATTGTTACCCCTCGAAAAGACATTGCCAACCTTGGGTTCGCTTCAGTTGACAATGTTTTCTCGGGGTAACAATCTACTCTATCACCCTCTCAGCTATGTGTTATCTTTATACTATCGAGTCCAAACTTGTATTGCCGGGATACATAGACACAGTACTATATCAATCGACCATAACTAAACAGATTTTCGTCGGCCTTGTCATGGATTTTGCTGCATGAATACAAAGACCTGATTGACATTGCTATCAGGTACAAAATATATGTCGTCAGTAGTCAATATATAAAAACTGACGAGGAAAGGTAACACCCGGCCACCGAAAGCTTGATTGTTGTCGAGCCTAGGTGGTCGAGTGGTCTAGCGCGCCGGGTATAGTGCAAGGCGATTTGGTGCCACGATATCTCAGTAGCATGAGTTCGAATCCTGGCCAGGGAAGAACAAAAATTTGCTTCCGCAAAATTACAGATCTAACATTTTTGGGTTGTTATTTAGACGTATGATATATACAGAATGTGTTTTCAGCCTTGTATCACCATCATTAGTGGATAATATCTGTTGTAGAGTCGTCACTGGTTCAGACGTACTTATATATATATATAATTACATCTTCATGCCTTATATATCATGTACTGTGTTACGACGCTAGATTAAAACTGACGAGGAAAGGTAACACCCGGCCACCGAAAGTTTTATTATTGTAGAGCCTAGGTGGTCGAGTGGTCTAGCGTGTCGGGCACAGTGCAAGGCGATTTGGTGCCACGATATCTCAGTAGCATGAGTTCGAATCCCGGCCAGGGAAGAACAAAAAATTTGCTAATGCAAATTTAAAGATCTAACATTGTTGGGTTGTTATTTAGACGAATTATATCAGCAGGGTTTAAGAACATCTGTTGTTCGACCTGTTAGTCAAATGCGTTTTGTTAAAATATACTTTTTCACTTTTTTGGTTTTTTGGAAAATGTTGTTTGTGCTGTATTTAGACCCCTCTAACAAGAATTTTTTTTTTGCATGCACACGTATAAAAATTGCGGTTTTTATCCAACGCAACCATAGGTTTGAATGTTGATTTCAATTTAGACTTGTTTATATATATATATATATATATACAGCACAAACAACATTTTCCAAAAGACCAAATGAGTGAAAAA